AATTACTGACAATTTTAATTCAGATTTTCCTTATGAAAAGGAAGGAGCACATTATTTAACAGAAACTTTCCTGTGTTCCTCAGTAATCTTAAAATCCTTCCTGTATTAAAGAACAAAACAAAAAACCTTTTCTTGCTGATCCTTGAGTTTGCTTATACCTATACTGAAAATTTATACCAGATGTGCAATTTGAGGTTCCCAGTATGCTCTTCTTTGGGAACCTCGAAATTTGGGGATGAGGACTATTTCCCGCTTTCCCCCATAACACCTCCTTAAAAGTTAGTAGTAAATCAATTTCAGTAATCATTAAAAAAGCTTGATATTTGTAGGCTCACAATTATGTAAGAAATTACATATTGTTATGCTATTTATAAGGTACTTTATTTTGTGTGTTCAATAAAAAGTACAAAATATTAGAAATGAACAGATGTTCACACTGAACTATTTACAATGTAAAGCAGAAATAAAAAGTATCTGCCTGTGTTAGTTCAGGAGAAACAAAACGTATCAGTTTCTTATTTTGTTATATATTGTTTATAATTTATTTACAGAAGCACTTAATTCATTTAATAAGAATTTGTGTAAAAAGGACACCTACCAATTATAATAAATAATAAAAATATGTATATGCAAAGATTAAAAAATATCACATCCATTGTCATGGTCCTCGATATAATCAGAGCTAACACGTTGATGATTTTTCCCTCCAAAATTTTCAGGAGTTTTTCTGTTTTGTTGTTAAAGTAAAAATTACCGGGCTGTATCCCTAGTTCCAAAGTATTTGCATCATATTTTTGGGGGAGTTGGTGACCAGGGATTTTCCTCCTTCCCTTCCTTATTATTTTTAATTGCTTGTTATGCTTGAATACGTCTATGTTATAGAAGAGTCAAGCAATAGAGTAATACTACACTGAACAAAGTCTGAGACTCTTCTCAAGCCACCTTCACTCCCACTCTGCTCCATGACAAATGACCACTGTCTACAGTGGACCCTACCAGTGACCTGTAGATGGACTTACGTGCATAGATATGTATATTTGCAAGTTCTTAAAACAAATGGAGCATGCATATATATACATATATATTTATATATATGTAGTTTGTGAATGGCGTTTTTCACTTAGTGATTTCTGATAAGGTTTTCCTATATTCCTCATACTAATGGGATCTATATTGTTCTGTTATTTTAATTTTGTTCTTTTACATTTATTTTTAAAGAAATAAATATATTATTACTGGGGGAAAATTAAACTATACAAGTAAAACAAAAGTCTTCCTTGAATTTCATGCAATCCCACTTCATCCTCTAGAGAGAATCTCTGTTTCCAGTGTGATGTATACTTCGTCCTTCTTGTTTTTTAAAAATATGTTTATATATGCATGTACATATGGATACATATATGGTTTGGTAAGTGATTTTTAAAATTGTTACATTAGTTTTTCTGCAACTTGTTTTTTTCACTTAACGGTATTTCCTTGTTGGTACATAGACATCTACATATTTATATTGTATTCCATGGCATAGTTTAACCATAGCTCATTTTACCATTGTTACTGGGGAGCATTTGTATGTTGTTTACATTATTGGACCATTATAAACAATATTAAACATTCCTATACATGCTCTTTTGTGTGCCTATTCAAGTATTCCCTGGTATAGGAAAAAAAAAAAAGAATTGCTAGGTTCATGAGTATGTGCATTTTATTTTCAATGAAAACTGCCAAATATGCTTTAAAAAGTCCTCTACCACTTGGATCTCTTAGTGTTGGTAATTTCCTATACCTTTACTGATACAACTGAGTATTATCAGTCTTTTAAAAATTTTCTAGTCTTATGGGTCATCTCATCACATTTTTAAAAATTATTTTTATTGTTTGTACTTTTGTTGCCCATTTAAAAAATATATATGTATTTGAGATAGGGGCTTATTCTGTTGCCCAGATTGGAGTTCAGTGGCACAGTCACAGCTTACTGTAGCCTCAACCTCCTGGGCTCAACTGATCCTCCTGCCTCAGCCTTGTGAATAGCTGGGACTACAGGCATGCACCACCATGCCCAGCTATTTCTTTTTAAATTATTATTATTTGTAGAGACAAGGTCTCACTGTGTTGCCCAGGCTGGTCTTCAACTCCTGGGCTCAAGTTCTCCTGCCTCAGCTTCCTTTGTTGCCCATTTTAATTTTGGATTACTTTTTTTTTTTTTTTTTTTACTGATTTGTAGATTTTTTTAAAAATCCTTTTGTTATACATATGTCACTTGTCTTTGTGATGTATTTTATCATGTAAAAGTATTTAATTTTTAAATGGTCAAATGAGTATTCTTCATGTATTCTTGAATGTTGTTTCTTGCATAAGAAAAGGGCTTCCCTGATTCAAGGTTTATACACATATTTCTATAATTGAATACTAAGAAAATTTTATTGTCCCAAGAACACTTAACAGAATTTTATCCTTTTCTTACTGATCTGGCACACTACCTTTATCATAATCTTAATGATAAAATACATGTAGCTCTGTTCTGACCTAATTTCTCTTCTGTTGACCTATTTTTCTTCTCTGCTGCTAAATCACACTTTTACATGACTATAGCTTTATACAAATTTTACTATGTGAATGGATGTATACTTCCCCAGGTCAGTCTCAGAATTGTTTTCTTATGTATTTTTTCATGTAGAAATGTTTTATTTACACTATTGCAAAATATCACGTAAAGTCTTGTTGGTATTTTGATGGTTATTTTACTGAATTTTAGATTTACTGAGAGACATTTGACTTTTTATTTTTGAGACAGAGTCTCACTCTGTCACCCAGGCTGGAGTGCAGTGGCATGATCTCAGCTCACTGCAACCTCCGCCTCCCAGGTTCAAGAGATTCTCCCGCCTCAGCCTCCCAAGTAGCTGGGAGTACAGGCATGTACCACCACACCTGGCTAAATTTTTGTATTTTTAGTAGAGATGGGGTTTCACTATGTTGTCCATGCTGGTCTCGAACTCCTGACTTCAGTTGATCCATCTGCCTTAGCCTCCCAAAGTGCTGAGATTACAGGCATAAGCCACTACACCTGACCTAGATTTGACATTTTATAGTATTGACTCTTTTTGTCCAGAAACATGTTATGCCTTTACATTAATTCAGATCTCATATGGTCTTCAAATTCTATGGTCATCAGCCTGAAGGTCTTCTCTATTTTAGGTTTATTCCTGAATATTTCATTGGATTTGTTGCTATTTTGATTGGAAGTAAATATATTTTCTAATTATTTATTGATTGTGTATCAAGCTTTTGATTTTTATTGTTGTTGGTATTGACCATATAGCCATAGTACTGCACCAAAATCTTCTATTAGTTCTAATAGTGTGTCAGTAATGGAGTATCAGGTGACTGTCTTTTATATTCTAGAACAAGTAACTCCGTCCAATAGAAATATAATAGAAGCCACATATGTAATTTTAAATTTTCTAGTGGTCATGTTCAAAAAGTAAAAAGAAACAGGTGAAAGTTATTTTAATACTTTAACTCAGTGTATCTAAAATATTTCAACATGTACTTAGCATAAAATATTAATGAGATAATTTACGTTCTTTTTTTTGGTATTAAGTCTTTAAAATTTCATGTATATTTTATACTTATAGCACAATGTGATTTGAGCTGCAGTAGTCTCACTTTAAATGCTCAGTAACCACAAGTGGCTAGTGGCGACTGTACTAGACAGTGCATTTTTTTTTTTTTTTTTTTTTTTGAGATGAAGTTTTGCTCTTGTTGCCCAGGCTGGAGTGCAATGGCGCGATCTCGGCTCACCGCAAACTCCGCCTCCCGGATTCAAGCAATTCTCCTGCCTCAGCCTCCCGAGTAGCTGGGATTACAGGCGCATGTCATCACGCCCGGCTAATTTTTTTGTACTTTTACTAGAGACGGGGTTTCTCCATGTTGGTCAGGCCTCCCAAAGTTTTGGGATTACCGGTGGCGTGAGCCACCGCGCCCAGCCTGGACAGTACATTTCTAAGTGGACCAGAATATTGCTTGCAAATAATGAAATTTTTTCTCTAAAATTTTTTTGGTCTTCTTTTCTTTTGCCTTAATGTTTTTGTTTGGACATCAGTAGTACCATGCTGATGTTGATGATATTAATGCGAATACTTGCAATGTTTGACCACTATGAATTTCTGGCTAGAGGTTTCCTTCCCGTTCTGGTTTGTAAGAATTTTTCTTTAAATCAGAAACCAATTTTAAGTTTAAAATATATATATATATATTTAAATATATTTATGAAAATGTGGAAACTCTTGAGTGACCATATTTTTTATCTTAAAAAATAGAAATAATACTTTTAAAATGGTGAACAATTCTTGTATTTTAGAAACAAAGCCTCTCGATCATAATGCATTTATTATTATTATTATTATTATTTTTTGAAATGGAGTCTTGCTCTGTTGCCCAGGCTGGAGTGCAGTGGCATGATCTCAACTCACTGCAACCTCTGCCTCCCAGGTTCAAGCTATTCTTTTGCCTCAGCCTCCCAAGTAGCTGGGACTACAGGCACCTGCTATCACACCCAGCTAATTTTTGTATTTTTAGTAGAGATTGGGTTTCACCATATTGGCCAAGCTGGTCTTGAAGTCCTGACCTCTTGGTCCACCTGCCTCAGCCTCTCAAAGTGCTGGGATTGTAGGTGTGAGCCACTGCACCCGGCTTGCATTAATTTTTTTTTTAGCAAATTTTTCTACTAAATTTCATTTGCTTTTTAAAAAAATTTAGGTTACCTAATCATAAAAATCTCTATTTCTCTATTTTGTTTTAAATACAGTCAATCTTTGTCCAGTTTTTATAGCAACGAGGATTTTCTGGCCTTGTGAAATGTATCGACATGATTCTTGTTCTACACTTTGGAACTGCTCATTACCATGTTGTATTATACTGTATTATATTACACAGAATACTGTACAGAAATACATTCATCTCATTGGTGGTGGCACATCCTAACAGGGTGTTTTCTTCCCCAGCAGGACTCTGGACTGTCTTCACGCTAGGTGGTGTGGGCAGCAAAGCGACTGCCTCTCCAGAGCTTTCTTCCCCTCTGGCCAACCAGAGTCTCCTGCTTCTGCTGGTGTTGGCCAATCTGACAGATGCCTCAGATGCGCCAAACCCCTACAGACAAGCCATTATGTCCTTCAAGAACACACAAGGTTTGTGGTATTTTTTTCTCTAATATTCTTTGTAATGGGGAGAGTATTGCTTATTCTATATTGTTTATTGTCTTGTAGTTTTGGAGATGAGTGTCCATTTGTATGTTTTCATATTGGTCAAACATGAGAAAAACCTTAGCTTTTCCTGTCAATATTATCAGGAAGGTCAAGCAAATCCGTGAACAAGGCTGTGATCCTTTATATCTGTTTAAATTCATATTTCTTTCAGGGATAACCAAACCAGCATGTGTTTAATTTGGGTCAGTCTGTACTACCTGTTAGGGGTAGGAATTAACCTGGAAAACCCAAATGCTAGGTTGTTTTAAATTTTCAGTTAAAGTCTGTGTTCTAGTTAGAGTTTTATAGAACTAAAAATTAGGTCTCAAAAAAAAAATTAGAGCACAAATCAGAAAACCTTTTTCTGTAGGGATTAGTGGCTTTGTGGAGCCACATATTCTCTCCTGCAGTCTCTTAGCCTTGCCGTTGTTGCATCAAAGCAGCCATAGGTACTATGTAAACAGGTTAGATGGCTGTGCTCCAGTACATCTTTACTTCCAAACAAGGGGGGGTAGGCTGCCCATGAGCTGTGTAACTTGGTATTAATAACTCCTAAAGTAGAAGATGAGCATATCACTTCATGTTGAACCAGCATCTCTTCTCAAAAGGTTACATTCTAAAAGCAGGATTCCTGTAGTACAGTCAAGTGCTGCTCAATGGCAGGGCTGTGTTCCATTAGGCAATTTTTTCACTGCGTGACTATCATAGTGTACTTAGACAAACCTAGATGGCATAGCTGCTACATAACTAAGCTCTGTGGTGTAGCCTATTGCTCCTAGCCAGCAAACCTGTTCAACATGATGATGTACTGAATACTGTAGTCAGTTGTAACACAGTGGTATTTGTGTATCTAGGCAATCTAAACCTAGAAAAGGTACAGTAAAAATGTGGTATAATCACACGGGATCACTTCAAATATGTGGTTTATCATTGACTGAAACATTATTATGCAGCGCATAGCCAGATTCTCAAGACATTTCTAACACCAGTGTGATGAAGATGGGTGGGAAGTACAGTGATTGGATGGGAGCATTTGTAAGCCTTCTGATGCCCCGTGCCATGTTTCTTCCAGGTTATTCTGATACACATTTCTTATAGACGTGGCTAGATGTGCCCATTAATTGTGCCTCTGCCAATTCTGGTATTATTTGCAGCGTGTCCATTTGTGCTGCTCTAACAAAATACCTGAGACTCAATAACCTATAAAGAACAGAAATTTATTTCTCACAGTTCTGAAGCCTGGGAAGTGAATCTAAGATCCAGGCACTGGCAGGTTTGGTGTCTGGTGAGGGCTCAGTCTCTGCTTCCAAGATGGGTCCTTCTATCTGTGTCTTCACATGGCAGAAGGGAGTCAAGGGCTAAAAGAGCTGAATGCTATGTGGGCCCTCTTTTATATAGGCCTTCATCCTGTTGATAAGAGAGGGGCCCGTAGGACCTAATCACACTGTAAAGGCCCCACCTCTCAACTTTATTTCATTGGAGATTAAATTTCAACATGAATTGTGGAGAGAACATAAACTATAACACGTTACAATGGGGAAATAATAACAATTTTATGAATTAAAAAATGAAAACTCCTGTATCTATTAGTATTTTTCTGTTCCCATTACTTACTCTTCTTGGTGACAGTATGACTTAATGGTTAAGAAAGCAAGTTTCAGAGTCAAGCATACCTGGCTTCACACCATACCTCTATCACTTCAGAGTGTGAGACCTTTGACAGTTTGCTTAATCTCCCAATTAGCTTCAAAAGCTTTGCCTATAAAATAGAGAAAATATCACCTAATAGTATTTGTATAAAGACCAAGCAAGGTAAGTCTTTAAAATGATTAGCCCAGATTTTGCAACAAAGCGGGTATTCAGTATATGGTATCTACTATGTTACTCTTGCTGCTCAGGCCAAATGTTGGTATTTAGGGCTGAACTTTGCTTGGGATGGTCACGGTTTGGGAGACCATTTAGTACAATGATGCAAAGTGTTGGCTTTAGGATGCTCATATCCATCAGGGCTGATCTTGGCAAAGTTACTTGATCCCTTTAAACATCTATTACATTCCTTGTAAAGCTGATCAGAATAATGACACGTTTGTTGTATGGGTTAAATAAGGGATAACATAAACAAAGTGTTTAGTATAACAGCTGGTTCATAGTATTTATTAGCTAGTAATGTATGTATGTTGTGGATACACATACACAACACACATATTCCCTTTGCAGTCAGGTATAATACAGGTTGGTGAATTTGTTACTTTGCTTCAATTTTATAGAAGTGTAGTGTGTCTAGAATCTTCCACCAGTGAGCATTCTGTAGATTCCATAATATCTGCATACTCACGGCACATGGCAACACTTTCTTTTACCATCCCTTGCAAAAATATAAAGCCAACCACAAAAAAATGAATTATTTTTGTAAGTGTCAAAAATACAGTGTTAGTATTGAAAAAATAGCCTCTATTTCAAATGTAGAAGGAAAAGTGAGGGCACTGGATGGTAAAACTGAAGGCGTTTTGATGCATTCTCCTCACAAATGTAAAGCTTAGAAAGGAGAATCTGAGAGGCAAGGACTGTGTTGGAACATATCTCTTTTTCCATAAGAGCACAGCTTTTAGGAATGTTAAAGCAAGTTATTTTGTCTTGGTAGTGCTTCTGTGTTTTTAAAGGCTTAAAATAATTTTGGTGCTTTTTAGAACATAAAAATATTGGCTCTTTGTGCTACCATGTTCAGAGTTTTATTTGATTAGATGATGACTTTCTCTGAGTCTGTTGAACTTATCTTTATCTTCTTTGTTACTTCCTAACCTTGATTGCTTCAGTTTCTCAGCAAATCCAGTTAACTGTTGGAAAGGGCCTGTGTCGGTTTGGGATATCAAGAACTTTCCTAGTACAGGCTGTGATTTTTGCTTTTGATTGTTCCAGTGACTGTACTTAAAAAAAACAAACAAAAAAATTTCTTAGCAGTTGTAGTCAATTAGGTTTGCATTGGAGATTATATTTTATTTTATTTTTTAAAAAGTTATCGAAGTTTTCTGGTAGTTGTCTCAAGCTTGGTATGCTCTTTTGATTATAGAACCTAATGTTGAACGTACACAGATGGCCCCCAACCTGCAATGGCTGGACTTAGGATTTTTTGACTTTATGATGGTGCAAAAGCAATATAAATTCAGTACTGTATTTAATAAATTACATGAGATATTCAACACTTTGTTGTAAAATAGGCCTACTGTTACAGTTGGATTAATACAATTTAGAACTGTACACAAAAATAATAGCTTAGGCTAGGCTAGGCTAGGCTAAGCTATGATATTTGGTAAGTTAGGTTGTATTAAATGCATTTTCAACTTAGAATATTTTCAACTTACGATTAATTTATGGGAATATGATCCCATTGTAAGTTGAGGAACGTCTATACTGATTTTGGTGTAAATGGATACTTCAGCCACAATTTATTCATTTGAAGAAAATTAACCCAGCCTTAAAGGCAGTTGTTTTCTTTTTAATTCTATATTAAAAGAGAATTTTCTATTTTGTATAGAAATTCTATCTTTCTCTCTAGATGCTTTTTATTTAGGACTCATGGTTATTTAGTTTCGGTAACAAAGTATTTCATCTTGAAGTCCTGGTTAAATTGTATTGATTGGAGAGCCTTTTGACTCACTCATAATTCTGTTTATTTAAGTTCATGTTCTTAGAGCTGATTTATTTCAGCCATGTTAATGGGAAAATAGTAACAGAGTCAAACTACATGACTTAGTTTAGTTCTTTTTTAAGGTAAAATTTTTTTTTTTTTTTTTGGAGACAAAGTCACTCTATCGCCCAGGCTGGAGTGCAATGGCGCAATCTCGGCTGGTTGCAACCTCCACCTCCCGGGTTCAAGCGATTCTCCTGCCACAGCCTCCTGAGTAGCTGGGATTACGGGCCCACACCACCACGCCCGGCTAATATTTGTATTTTTAGTAGAGATGGGATTTCACCCTGTTGGTCAGCCTGGTCTCAAACTTCTGACCTTGTGATCCACCTGTCTCGGCCTCCTAAAGTGCTGGGATTACAGGCGTGAGCCACCATGCCTGGACCTCAAGTAAATTTTGTATAAATTAAAATTTTGAATCTGAAATGTAATGACTTTCCATAAAATTAATGGGAATTCAGTTGTACACATTACTTTAACAATATTTTCATTTATATAAAGCACAGCTAGAAATTACTGATGTGCTGTTTTCTGTATTCCAGATAGCAGTCCTTTCCCCTCATCAATTCCACATGCCTTCCAGATCAACTTTAATAGTTTGTACACAGCTCTTTGTGAACAGCAGACATCTGATCAAGCAACTCTCCTCTTGTATACCTTGCTTCATCAAAATAGTAATATTAGAACATACATGTTGGCTCGCACAGACATGGAAAATCTTGTAAGTATCATACTAAACATTCCATGTGTTTGTATTTTATAATATTTTGAAGAAAAACTTCTTTTCCCAAGAGGGCAAGTTTATTTGCCTGGTTGCCATAAAGGTGATGATCAAGAAATTGATAGGGAGGTGTCAGCAGACACAGACAGAGGGTAGGATCTTCTCCAGCATAAGACACAGCTCGTGTGGAGGGGGCCTCCCACAGCAGGACACAGCAACGTCCCTGGCTGACTTGACGCGCCTCCTTGTCCTTACCAGGATTCAGCCTGTTCAAGTCTTCCAAAAACCCTCTGCAATTCTCAAGGAGATTTTTAAATCATCTCAGTCCCTTCCATCTGCTAAGTGCCCGCCCACCAACTTCATGTTACTCATCACAGTTGCAGAATATTCCTGATGAGAATGCTGAAAGGAAAGTGATGTTTCAACTCAGCTGCTCAAATGTCCCATCCCCTCTGGCAGGCTTAGGCTTTAGGACTGTCTGAACTCACTCCCTGGAGTCTTATAGTCATTTTAAGGTACTTTTGTCAGATATCCCTTAAATTACACTATCCATCACTACATGAGTGAAATTAGTTCTCAAATTTTTGTTCATAGACAAAAACTCCTGTAAGCAATAATCGATTTCCTTTATGACTAATGTGCAAACATCAGTGTTTCTATGAGGGGGAGAGTAAGCTACCTCACCAAGGTGTTAATGTTGTTTGAAATACATAGTGTGTAGATAACTATGGACCCTAATATACTCGTAAAAATGTGAACATTCCCGAAATAGCCAGTAGCTGCCTGACAGCAATGAAATGTTCCCTCTGCACCACTTTTTACAGATTGATAGCAGGATTCTCCCAGTATTTGGTTACCATTTTTTCAGTGTTCAATATAAAATACTGCATAAATAGTGAAGGAACACGGAATACCAGAATTCATTGAACATACTCTGCATCCAATTGACACTAAGAATGAAACATGTGATGAAAGAGTGTCTCCACCTTAGGTCTAGGTGGGAAACATTGCTTAAATAGCAAAGTGAGTATGAAAGTATACTGCTTATATGAGTAAAATCCTGTAAAGAGAAGGTTTGTTTCCTGATAGGTGTGGATAGGCATAGAGACAATTCTGAGGATGATGTATTCTAAGGGAAATATTGGCAATAAGCAGGAAACCTGTGATGTCACCTGTTTCAGAAAGTTGTATGGTAAGGATGCGGGTATATAAGATGGTGCAGAGAGCAGCTGTCTGTGTTTGATGACATACCCAGTGAAAGGTTAAAAGGTTTTGTGTTATAGTTATTTTGGAGGGTGGTGTTTGTTTATTTGTTCTGGTTTTGTTGGATAATTTCTTTATGCTCCATCTGTCCTTTTACCTTTCTTCTATAATGAATATGTTGAGGCTTTGATGAGAAAATATGTTATCAGTAGGAAATTTACTGTGCTGATCTGATTTTGTTATGGTTATCAATTATTTTATTCTGCAGTCTTTGACATTAAGAAGGTAATGTTTGACGGATTACAGTGTTTCTAAGAAATACGTAATTGTGTGTAAATCCCATCAGGCTGGAGGCAGACCTGCCTCTGTTCAGCAACAGGTGTTGGCTGACTGGGATTCTTTCTGTTGATGGTCTGACTCACTACTGTTTGACTTGTTTTAACTCAAAACAAGTTAATTAATCTGGTATAACTTCTTATGGTACATTTTTAATTTTTATCTATTAGAATAACAATACAATGACTCTTGCATTTTCTTTTTGTGTCTCTGAATAGTGTCTAGGGCGAATCCAAGTGCCTGAATGTTAAAAACAGGGCTTAAGAGGCATACTTTTTAGAAAAACTCATTATAGACATGAACACAATTTTTATATTTTATCACAAGCAAATGTTTAACAAGAAAAGTAGCTAGACTTTTAAGATAGTCATGATTCTTTTAGTTGTAACAGACCCATTTATGCCTAGCGTAAGCAAAAAGAAATATATCTGTACAAATGAAAAATTTGTGCATTTTTTTTTGGCTTCAGTCATAGCTGGTTCTAGGGGCTAAATGTTATCCAGGCTCGGCCTCTCCATCTTTTGCCTCTGCCTTTTATAGCTTTGGCCTTATTCTCAGGCACACACTTTCCAAGTGGGGAGACAGGTGGCCACCAGCAGCTCTCGACATATCATAAGCTAAAAAGAGGAAAGATTACACAACTACTTCAGAAATATTTCATGAAGGGCTCCAATAGTCTCTTCTTGGGTTGTGTATCCACTTATTTGACCAATGATTACGGAAGGAGGCGCAGTTAATGCTAAGCCACCATAGCCACAAAGGTAAAGGGAATTTCCTTAAGGAAGGGATCTTGGAAAAATAATATATAGTCACTTCGACACTATATTGCTTGTAATTTCCTTAATCAGGGCATTATGAGCTAGTCACTCTTTTAATTTCTGTTTGTGTTAGTCCAGCAGAGATTCGGCTGGCATTTCCCTTAGGCCTCCAGCAGTCTTCTGCTTTTGGGTCAAGCCTTGAGCCTGCACAATATTGCAGACATGCAGCTCCTGTCATTTTGATACTTACTCATTTGAAACTTCACTGAAGAGACACTTAGAAAATGAGATTAAGATTTACAATGATATGCAGTCTAGGATTTATCATGAATTATAAAAGAAATGACATAGGATCTTTACATCTTGTTTTAGATGGACTAATAGTCCTTTATTTTCTGAGTGTGGTTTTTATATAAACATCAAAAAGGAAATTTTTTTTTAGCCCTTTTCTTTTCCTTTTCATGCTAAGTTTCTTGAAAGCCACATTATTTGCCTTTACTTCTTGTGCACTTTTCTACCTGTTGTGATCTAACATTTGTTTCTACAACTTCCTGATCAGCAGCTCCTGATTGTTAGTAAATCTTTGGTCATGTTTCATTTTCTTATTTGACTGCATTGCTGCATATGACACTGTTCATTTCTTTATTCTTTAAATCGCTGAATACCTATGTGTTAGTCAGTTCAGGCTTAGTCAGTTCAGAATTTATTCAGGCCTGACTGCTTTAACAAACATACCATAGACTGGTGCTTAAACAACAGAAAGTTATTTCTCACAGTTCTGTAGGCTGAGATTTCCAAGACAGAGATGTTAGCCCCCTTGGTGTCTGGTGCAGACCTGCTTATTGGTTTGTCAAGAGTCATCTACTTGCTGTGTCCTCACGTGGCAGTGAGCAGAGGCAGGGAAGAAGCAAGCTTTCTCCTCTCTCTTCTTATAAGGGTACTAATCCCATCATGAGCGCTCCACACCTGTTACCTAATCTCCTCGCAAGAGCCCCACCTCTTAATAGTGTCCCATTGGGGGACATATGAATTTTAACATATGAATTTTGGGGGCCCAAACTTGTAGTTCATATATCTACAAACATATACCTTGGCTTTCTGATCATTTTACTCTGCTGGTTTTTCCACCTCTATGCCTACTGCTTTTCTCTCTCCTTTATGTGTTATTTTTTTCTTGTCCTTAAATGTGTCCTGCTGCAGGGTTCTGTCCTTCTTTTTGTTTTTTCCCTGTACTTCTCCCTAAAACATCTAAGCAAATTCAGTTGTCATTTATATGTTGCCAGTGTATATGTTCCCATTTATATGTGCCATATATGTTCTGTTTTTGCAGCCCTGGTTGCCCATATCTCATATCCATGTATCCAGCTGCCCCAGACATTTCCCAGTGGCTGTCTCATAAACACCTTAAACCAAACATGTAAAAATTGGGTTCATTATTTTCCCTGCTCTTCCTTCTCTTACTCCTGTATTCTGTATCACAGTGAGCCATCCACAGAGTTAGCAAAAGCTTTGACTCTCCTGTTTTATTCCCCCATATCCAACCAAATCTTTTTTATTTTCTCTCCTTATTATCTTTGGAATATATTAGTGTTCTTTTTCCTCATTGCCATTCCTTTGGTTTAAGCGGCCTTCATCTCTTACTAAAACTATTGCAACATCTTTAACTGGTTTTCCTGCTTTCTGTCTTGCTATTCTTTAATATTATTTTCTATCCTGTTTCCAGAGTGAGTATATTAGAGTCAAATCTGATCATGTCACTTCTCTGCTTTTAAAGCCCTTTCATGGCTCCACAGTGTCCTCAGGTTTAAAGCTCTTACTCTTAATGTGGCTAACAAGACATTTTATAATTTTGCCACAGCTTCCATTTTGGGTCTCATCTGTTTGCCATTATGTCCTTTTTATTCTTTATTTAATCATAATGAATTAATTTAATTTCTCTCAATCTGACCTATCTCGTAACTAAGTTTAGACTTGGTTTTCTCTAGAATACTTCTCCTTGAAATTTTCTCCCTTTTCCTCTTCTCAGACAACTCTTAGTAGTTTTTCAGATCTCAGTTTAAATAGTTCTTTCAGAATTAAAGTTATGTTATGAAAGTAATTATATACCATATCCAAGTGGGATTTATCCGAGGAATGTAAGCTTGATTGGACATCTGAAAGTCAGTTATTGTGATACATCATATCAAGAGTGAAAAACAAAAATCATATGATTATTTAAATAGATCCAGAAAAAGGCATTTGACAAAATCATCACTTTTTAATGAAATAAAAATATTTAACAAACTAGGAATAGAAGAGAACATCCTCAGATTAATAAAGGGCTTCTATGAAAACCCTACAGCTCACATCGTACTTAATGGTAAAAGACCATGTTGTCTTTCTCCCTAAGATCAGCCACAAAACAAGGATGTCTGCTTTTGCCATTTCATTCAACATTTTACTGGAGATTCTAGCCTGGGCATTTGATTAAGAGAAAGAAATGAAACACATCTAGATTGGAAAGCAAGGTGTAAAATTATCTGTATTTGCAGATGACATTATCTTATATATAGAAAATCCTAAGGAATCCACTGAAAAACTCTTAGAATTAATAGATGAGTTCAGCAAAGTTGCAGGATACTGGATCAGTATAAAACGTCAATATGCAAAAAATTGTATTTTTATATATGAGAAATCCCAAAATGAAGTTAAGAAAATAGTTCTGTTCATAATAGCATCAGAAATTTAACAAGAGAAGTACAAAACTTACACTCTGAAAACTACAAAATATTATTGAAAGAAATGGGAAAACATATATTCATTGATTGCAACATAAAAAAATAGAGATAGGGTCTTGCTGTGTTGCCCAGGCTGGTCTTAAACTTCCGACCTCAAGCGATCCTCCCACATTGGCCTCCTAAAGTGCTGGGATTACAGGCGTGAGCCACCATACCCAGCCCTGATCACAGTACTTAACATCGTTAAGATGGCAGTATTCCCCAGAGACTGACGTACACGTTGAGCACAATACGTATTAGAATCCTAGTTGACTTCTTTATAGAGATTGACAAGATTGTTTAAAAATCCATATAAAATTATAAAGGACCAAGAATAGCCAAAACAATCCTGAAAAAAAACAAATTTGGAGGACTCATACTTTCTAATTTCAAAACTTATTATAAAGCAACACTAATCAATACAGTGTGGTACTGGCACAAGGATAGATGTAATACATCAATGGAGTTGAACTGAGAATCTAGAAATAAACCCATATACCTATCATCAACTGATTTTCAGCCAGGGTGCCAAGACCAATGTGGAAAGAATAGGTTTTTTTCAACAAATGGTACTGGTGCAATTGTGTAGTCACTTGCGAAAGGATAAAGTTGGGCTTTTGCTTCACCCCATATACAAAATTAATTCAAAATGGGTCAAAGGCCTAAAAGAGCTAAAACTATAAACCTCTTAGAAGAAAATGGGGGTAAATCTTTATGACCTTGGATTTGGCAAATGACTGTTAGATGTAACAACAAAAGCATGAGCAACAAAAGAAAAAATAGGTAAATTGAACTGCATCAAAATAAAAACGTTTGTGCTTCAAAGGACCATCAAGAAAGTGAAAAGACAGCCTACAGAATATGAGAAGACATTTGCAAATCACTTATCTGGTAAGGAACTGTATCTATAATATATAAAGAACTTTTTAAACCCAATAGTAAAAGGACAACCCAATTGCAAAATGGATGAAAGATCTGAGTAAGCATTTCTGCAAGGAAGATATACAAATAGCTAGTAATACACATATGAAAAAAACAAACTTGACATTATTAGTCATCAGGTAAGTGTAAATCAAAACCACAGCAAAATACCACTTTACTCCCACTATGATGCCTAGAATAAAATGTTAGTTAATAAGAAGTGAGGATGTGGGGAAATCTAATCTCTCATACACTGTTGGTGGAAATGTAAAATGGTGCAATGGCTTTGAAACAGTCTGGCAGTTCCTGAAACAATTAAATAGTTACCATATGATCCAGCAATTCCAAGGATAGATATATACCCAAGAGAAATGAGTATACGTCTTCAGGAAAACTTGTAAAGGAATGTTATAGAAGCATTGCTCATAATAGCAAGAATGTGGAAACAGTTCAAATGTTAGTAAACAGAAGAATGGATAAATGAAATGTGATATGTTTATGCAATGAGATATTATTTGACATAGAAAGGAATGAGACTCTGATACATACTGCAACATGGATGAACCTTGGTAACATGTTCAGTGAAATAAGGTAGTCACAAAAATCTACGTAGTCTATGATTCTATTCATACAGACGTCCAAAATAGGGAAATCTATAGAGACAGAAAGTGGTTCCTTTGGGCAGGCTACATAGGGGACTGGAGGAGGTGATAGTTAAAGGGTATGGGGTTTCTTTTTGAGGTAATGAAATTTTTTAAGTTGCCTGTGGTGATGGTTACACATATTTGTTAACATACGGCAAACCATTGAATTATGTACTTTGAATGGATTGTGTCTCAATACAGATATTTAAAAGAATGAAGTACTATTCTGACATAGTCTCATTGGACCCGTTACTTACTCTTACATTATTATTTCTTTGAATATACCATTTGGTTGTGTATCTTGTCTGGTAAAGCACAGAGTCTCAATATTTTCAGTACTCTGGTGATATTAGGTACTGTAGGTAAGATGTGCTTTCTACAGGTGTAGCCAAAAAAAAAAAAAAGAACATGGCATAAAATATAGTCATATGTTGCTTAATGTGGGGAGTCATTCTGAGAAATTTGTTTTATTAGGTGATTTTGTCATTGTGCAAGTATCATAGAGTGTACTTATACAAATCTAGATCGTATAGCCTAACTACACACCTAAGCTTTATGGTGTAACCTATGGCTCCTAGACCATAAACCTGTACATCATGTAACCATACTAAATACTGCAGGCATTTGTAACACAATGGCATTTGTGTATCTAAACATAGAAAGGGTACAGTAAAAATATGGTGGTGTAATCTTATGAGACTATACAACCACAGACTCTTACATGTGATCTGCCATTAATGGAAATGTTATGTGGCGTATTGAAAACTCCAGAATCAGAATTAACAAATGTTGAGTTAAATGACCGTAAAATGTAACTGTGCTTACTAGGTAATGTAGAATGTGAGTACAATGTATTATGTTTGACACAATGTCAGAAGAAACTCCAAAGACAAGAATGCCTGGGAAAAGAGAAAGAGCAATGACTACTTGGTAACTGGTACACTTCGTTCCTGGAATTTAATAGTGCTCATGCACTGAACTTCATAATTTAGAGGAAGTTTTAGCTACAACTTATAAAAGAACAAAACACACCAGTGCCACATTTTAAAACCTTCCTGCAATAGGTGTGCCTGTCAAAAACACGTATGCCCCAGTGTGTGGCATACCAGCCTGTGCTTTAGGGACTTGTATGTGTAAACAATTTACTCATTACATGTATTGTCTGATTTAGATGATAGATTTTTTTTTTTTTTGGCCTATTTTCTAGCATTCAGTGGATAGTGTTCATGGTTGTTTCCTACGAGACATGCTGTATAGTCTGCCCATCTTTAATAAATAATTTCAGTAACCTCCTTACTTTAGGAAAGAAGGAACAAATAGAAGGTGTCAATGATTTGAAATAAGCACAATTGTAAACGGCATTTTGAAATGAAATGTTTGGATAGATACACTGAAGAGCAGATCTTAATACATATGTTGAGAAAATGCACCTTGGGTTCCAAGAGTATGTTTAATTATGTATTTATTTAAAATATATTTCTTGAAATATATTTTTTACTTACTAGCTTTAAAAAAGTGATGCTAAGCACATAAAACGTTAACTTGTGAGCAGCTGTGCTCTCCCCACTACTGCTACTTTTTGGTTAAGTTGGGAGAAGGCAATGTGACTTCTTAAAATCTTCCAAACAAACCTCGAGCCTAAATGGTCCTTGCAGATCCAACCTTTATGTTGATTGGACCTTAAGAGACCTTCACAGAGTTAGTGATGATTTTCTCCACTGGCATCTTAATAGCTAAGATACATTTGGAAAATACATTCAGTCAGAAGGGGGTTTATATGGTTTTTTCCTCTAATGAACAATACAGCTATGATATTAAAGCAGAGTACAAAAGTGTAAAGATTTAAAACATTTGGATTTATAATGAAGTACTGAAATAGTCAATTATAATTTTTATTCTCTAGGTTTTACCTATTCTTGAGATTCTGTATCATGTTGAAGAAAGGAATTCACACCATGTGTATATGGCCCTTATAATATTGTTGATCCTTACGGAAGATGATGGCTTCAACAGATCCATTCATGAAGTGGTAAGTTACCATGACTTGGATTAGAGTTAGAGTTACAGAACACACATGTCCCTGCATAAGATTTTCTACAGTCTTTACATTTCTTTCTGGTAGATTTTCCTGTGAGAACCTGCATTAGAAATGTTATGTCTTTCTTCAGATTTTTGAAGCGGTGCTTTTTTTTGTTTTTCCAGAATGACTATTAACCACTATTAAAAACTCTCTCAAAATGGTTCTTTGGTAATTGATACAAATGATTTTGCTGCTACTGGGTTCATTTTTCTTCACTATTTCATTTCCACTTTTTCATTGTGGCAGAAATTGTCAAACAGGTTTGCTTCATGCATGCAGAATTAGAGAAGAAAAAGGGACCAAAATGGGAGAAGTTTGAGAAATCCATTGTTTTACATGTATTTTTTAAAGAACATAACATAATTTAACTCTTTAAATTTTGGTCCTGTTGGAGAGTTTTATTCCCAAACTGGTTTTATCTTCTTTCTTTGGCATTTTTTAATTTTATTTTTTGCATCAGAGTAATACACATAAATAGTTTTAAAACTTACATGGAAGTACAAGGTTTTAATGAAAAATAACAGACCCATGTTCACCCTGTTTCTGATTCCCGCTCCTCTAAGGGAAATGCTTTCAGTTCTGTCCATGTTTCTAAATAACATGCTTATATTGTGATTTCTTGATTTCAGTTGTAGATATTAACTATTATCTCCCTAAGATGGAAGATAGTCATTGATTCTTCCTGCATACCACATGTGTTCCCTCTGGGTTCCCAGCACGCTTGCCAGCACACAGACTTTTTCCTTTTTCCATCTTATTACCATTTTTGGTTAACTCAGATTTTACATTATTATTTTAGATGTTATTTTTAGTTTGACTGTGTACTGTAGGATAATTGCATTTCCTTTCTTGAACATGTTTTACCATTTCTGTAGCACATCATTGCCCTGTTTTTTATTTGTGTACTAATACACTGATTCTACCCCCGGTACTTCAACAGAACTGAAAATTTGCTCAAAATATATTCAAACTTACTGAGTTTTCTTTTTGGACTCCTGTCTTTGCTGGAGCGTCTGGTGGCTCTGGTTGATCTGTTCATCTGTAGGAGTAAGCACTAAGAAGTCGATTGGAAGTCCTGTGTGTGGGCAGGTCTGTCTTACTGTACCTTGTTGTACATAGTCTCTTTCTCTGGGACTCTGTCCCTGCAGGCCATTTTTTGGGTAGATTGTTTTTGATTCTTCCAGTCTCCTTGCTAGGGGGTCTATAGGAGAAGGGGGCAGGGCTTTTACTCTTTATAAGGGTACAGACACTTTGTTTTCTCCTCATTTTCAGTAGGGCTTTTATATTATCTTTACTGCTCTCTAATGTTCCCTTAAGTCATGTTTTTGCCTCTTACATAGTATGACCATAATTTCAACTAAGATTTAAGGAATCTTGACCATTGTGGAAGGAGTATAAAACATAGAAATTTATTTTTTGTGTGTATATTTAAGGTATACAACTTGATGTTTTGATATATTAATACATGTACACAGAGAAATGGCTACTATAGTCAAGTAAATTAGCATATCCATCATCTCACATAATTACCCCCTTTATTGTTTGTGGCAAGAGCAGTGATACTCTCCTTTAGCAAAAATCCTGAATACAGTACAATATCATTAACTGTAGTCCTCATATTCTGCACTAGATCTCTAGACTTCATCCTATAGACCTGTAACTTTGACCTATATCTCCCCATTTTCTCACATCCACCCCCGGTACCCATTGTAATATCCTCTATCTCTGTGTATTTGACTTTTTAAAAAGGTATTCCACATATATGTGAGATCATGAAGTATTTTTCTTCTCTGGTTTATTTCACTTAGAATAATCTCTTCCAGGTTTACCTATGTTGTGCCAAATGTCGGTGTCTTCTTTTTTAAGGCTGAATAATATTCCTTTGTTTATACAACCATGCACTACTTAACAATTGGGAGGCATTGTGAGAAATGTGCCCTTAGGTGATTTTATCATTATGTGAAAACTGTAGAGTGTGCTTACACAGCCAAGATAGTGTAGCCTACTACACGCCTAGGCTGTGAGGTATAGCCTGTTGCTCCTGGCCACAAACCAGTACAGCATTGTTACTGTATACTGTAAGCAGTTGTAACACAATGGTATTTGTTTAAACATAGAAAAGCTACCATAAAAATACAGTATAAAAGATTTTAAAAGGCACACCTGTATAGGGCACTTACCATGAATGGAACTTGCAGGACTGGAAGTGGCACTGATTGAGTCAATGAGTGAGTGGTGAGTAAATGTGAAGGACCAGGACATTGCTGTATGCTATTGTAGACTTTATAAACACTGGACACTTGGGCTACACTACATTTATAAAAAATATTTTTCTTTAATAATCAATTACCCTTAGCTTACTGGAACTTTGTTACTTTATAAAGTCACCACAAACACATGAATAGTGTGTTGTGCTACAATGGCTACAACATCTAGGTGATAGGAATCTAGTTATAATCATCTGGGACCTTCTTTATATATGCGGTCTGGCATTGACCAAAACATGTTATGTGGCAAATGACTACATACTACAGTTTCTTTATCCATTTGTCTGCTGACGGACTCTCTGGATATGTCTGTGTCTTGGCTGCTCTGAATAGTGCTGCAGTGAACGAGGGAGTGCAGTTATCTTTATAGGTGGTGATTTCATTTTCCTTATGCCCAGAAGAGGAACTGTGAGATGATCCACTAGTTCTATTTTTAATTTCTTTAAGAATCTATATACTGTTTCTCACCTTGGTGGCTCCAATCTACATTTCCACCAACAGTGTGCAAGGGTTCTGTTTCCTGCATCCCCTCCCGTACTTGTTATCTCTTGTCTTTTTCATAATGACTATCCACACTGGTGTGATGGTTTTGATTTGCATTTCCCTGATAATTAGTGATTTTGAGCACATTTTCATATACTTGTTGACCATATTTATGTCTCGAGAAATGTCTGTTCAGGTCCTTTGCCCATTTTTTAATGGGGTTATTTGTTTTTCTGCTATTGAGTTGTGTGAGTTCTTTATGTATTTTAGATACTAGCCTTTTATCAGATATATGGTTTGCAAACATTTTATATCAATTCAGAGGCTGCTTTTTCATTTTGTTGATTATTTCCTTTGTTGTATAGACACTTTTTAGTTTAATATAGTCCCATTAATTTATTTTTACATTTGTAGCCTGACCTTTCGTTGTGAACATAGAAATTTCTTGGTTCTTGTTTTCAGTAAAATACTATGAGAAGTAATATTTTCACCGATTTACTCAACTTTTTAAATAAATTAAAAATCAATACGATTTTTAAAAACATCTTACAATTGAAGTATAATATGCATATAAAACACACAAATTTTAAAGGAAAACTAATGAAAATTACCTTCTATATTTGTGTCATTACCACCCAGATAATTATTTGCTTCTGCAGCAGCAATAACAAAATAATCAGAACAAGAAGAAGTAAGCACACAAAAAACTTTGAAGCAAACATGACAAAGATGTTAATTTTTGGCATAATTCATATGTGGGTATACTGTTTATTGTGCTATTTTCTATACTTTTCTGTATCCTTATTCTATAAATAAAACACTTTCAAATTAGCAGAGAATTTTGCTTAAAATTAAACTTCACTGACTGCCAAAACAGGGTTGGTAAGACAGGGAAAGTTCAGTTCACATTCAAGTTCAGTTCCATTGGATTTCAGGATATTTTAGATGACATTTCAAATTCAAATATTGAAACACTTGTTCTTTTTCTCTAGAATCTGACTTTCTTGTTGATCTCCATTTATTTTGGTCCCTTCCCTTTTCATATGTAATATAGAAAAGAGTAAGTTCAAATGTTTTACCAAGTTTCTCTACATGGAATCATTAGTGTGAACCTACTTGCCTATGAAATATATACTGTTATCTCATTTTGATTTGAATTTGCATTTCTTAATACCCAATGATATGGAGAATTTATTTTTAATGTGCTTTTTATGTGCATATATATTTTTTTGCTATTTTTTAAACTATCTTTTTTATTTTGAAATGATTGTAGATTCACATGCAGTTTTAAGAAAAATAAGAGAGACCTCATGTACCCTTAACAGTTTTCCCCAATGGCAACTATAGTTGTAAAACTGTAGTTCAGTATCACAGCCAAGATATTTGATATTTTTGTTTGTTTGTTTGTTTGTTTGAGACATAGTCTCGCTTTGTCTCCCGGGCTGGAGTGCAGTGGCAGGATCTCAGCTCACTGCAACCTCCACCTCCTGGGTTCAAGCGATTCTCATGCCTCAGCCTCCCGAGTAGCTGGGATTACAGGCACACGCCATCATGCCTGGCTAATTTTTGTATTTTTTATTAGAGACAGGGATGTTTCACCATGTTGGCCAGGCTGGTCTTGAACTCCTGACCTCAAGTGATCCAGCTGCCTCAGCCTCTGAAAGTGCTAGGATTACAGGTGTGAGCCACCACGCCCAGCCTGACATTGATACACTTTAAGGTATAGAACATTTCTGTCACCTCAGCATCATATACCTCATCTTGCTCTTGAATAGCCATACCCCCTTTTAAAAACTTGGCTAATCTTATTATTGAGATGTAAGAATTATTTATTCTGGATCATTTGCTTTTTTATATTCTAGTTTGTTAATGTAGTAAATTATACTGATTATTGAGAATTATACTGATTGTTGAATATTAAATCAACTTTGCATCCTGGAGTAAACTGTGCTTGGACATGACATGTTTTGAAATGTATTTTCATATACAGTCTGGTTAAGTTTTGAGCTTTGTGTTTTCTGAGGAATTTGTACATTTCTTTTAAGGTAATGAATCTATTACAATAAAATTGTTCATAATATACTCTTATTACCTCTTCTTTTTTTAAAAAAAGTTACCTTTTAATGTCTATACTAGCCAGAGAGATTACCCCTCAGTCTTCATGCTGATGTGTCTATTCTCTTCTTTATCTTTCTAACT